CCTAAACCCCTAAACACTAAACCCCTCAACCCTAAGCTGCAGGTGATTACCGTCCTGGAAGCGACCACTGCCATGCCCGGCCTCCGGCGACGGAAGTTCCTGCGACGTGGCCGGCGGTGACTCTGCTCGCCCGCCGGCCTCTTGACACGATTATCATTCTTGTTATTATCATTATTACTATCATTATCATTATTATTCTTGTTATTAATATTATTATTGTTATTATTATCATTATTACTATCATTAGTATTATTCCTAGTATTATCATTATTTTTGTATTGTCGTTGTCGTCATCATCATCATCATCATCATCATCATCATATCATCATCGTTCATTTGTGATTCAATGCTATTCTGTTATTATCCTTATTGTTATTTCTTTGTTATACTTGTTAACTTGGGTGCATTATTGCTATGCGTAAGTATTCGTGATTACATGACTATGATGTTGATGGTTTTTTGGCTAGCATTTTTTGAGAGGGCGGCGGCCCCAAACTTCAAACTCCCCAACAAACCTGGATGCAGGTCATTGCCGAGGCCTCGATAGTGAATGTGCAGAGAGAAGCCTCCGGTGCATCTGCTCTACCGCGCTCCAGCGGGCTCGTTGAAGATGATTTACGTGCACCACTTTGTGGCCACAGCGATGCTCCCCTTGCATCAGTGTCCTACTTGGTGCCGCTGAAGGTCCCGGATGGCTGCTTCAAGGATCGGTTCTTTGGACGTCCCAGGAACGAGTGCCAGACGGTACATATGTGGAGGAGAAAACCCAACTGTCTGGACCAGGCGAGGGCACAGCTGGTGTCTGCTGCGCACCACGGGAACCGGCGCATCGGAGTAGCAATCGCCGAGCAAGGGCGGTGGCGGCAGTGTCCGTCCGATCGTGCGGGTCGCTGCCTGGCGAACACTCAGTTGCGTTGACAGGGCTTTCAAGGACGCGACGCTGGTCGTCACCAATCGCCAGTCGCTGAGCGCCTAGAATCCACCACGGCGCAAGGGCTTCCGTCCGAGGTGGGCCAAGGGCTTCGGTCGCGGCAAGGTCCGTCCGATCGTTTCGGTCGTTGCCTGGTGCACCAGGGACAATGCTACACAAGGCTTTCAAGGAATCTACGATGCTCACCACGGAGCAGATGCTTTTCTTCAACCCCATGCTTTCAGGCGAAGCCGTCCTGGCAGGCCACACTGACTCGGCCGGTGCTCGACCAAAGTGACAACGGTGTATCTCACTGGTGGAGTCCAACCGCCGGCAAGACAAACAAGCACTGGAGCTACAGTTGTACTACAGTTTGAGTCTCTTGGTGAGGCTGGCACACTGCCCAGATTGATTGCCGGACACATGAATGGAGGTCTTGGTGCGTGCGATGGTGTGTAGACACCATATCAAAAAACAGAGCCGAGGGTTGCTCTCCGTCCATGGCCAAGCGTCGAAGCACGAGAACCCGAGCTCCGACCAGCCTTTGGCAAGTCCCTTGGCTCTTTATGGCTTACACAAAGAACTTATACGTTGGGACCCAAAAACTGCTAGGTTTCTTAGGGTCCAGGTGGGGTTTCAGGTTGAGGGTTATGGGTTATAGAAGGGTGTTTAGGGTTTGGGGCGTTAGGGTTTAGGGTCTGGAGGGTTTCTTGTAGGCATCTCCCGAAAGTCTTTGCCTACCTTCCGAGGGGCATCAGAATTCTGCAGCCGAGTGGGCTTGGGTCAGGGATTTCGGGTTGCGTAGAGCGGTTTCAAGGGTTCACTAGGGTATTAGGGTATGAGGGTATGAGGGTATTAGGGTATTAGGGTTTAGAGTTTAATTAGGGTTTAGGATTTAGGGTATTGCCCAGAATAAAGAAGACTACTTGGAGGTCCATGGGTAGTTATAAGTAGGGATATAAGTAGGATAACTGTAGTTATATCCTAAATTAGGGGACTTCGAACTCCACCTATAACTATACCCATGAACCTCCAAGTATAATTTGTAGCTTAGTAGTAATGATCAACGTCAGGAAGCCCTTCGTTTTGCAGACATCGTCCTTCGAGTTGAGGGGTATGTTCCGCCTCCTCTATGGGAGTGTCTGAAAGTCAGAGATCCTAGACCATAAGCTTGCCTCCCAAACCTTGCCCTAAACCCTAAACCCTAAATCCTAAGGCCTAAACCCTAAACCCTGCACTGCACCTTGGAAACACTAGGATCCTTTTACAAGAGCCCTTCGGCAGGGGAGCACTGCTGGAAGCCCCCCCCCCCAACAACCCTGTCTAAAATCCGGGGGAAGGCCCCTGTAACACCTGATACTGTTGATGATAGGAATCCTGCATAACCTAAGGACCCCAAACTATGGGAATTATGGCATACTCCTTATTCTGGGTAATGCAGGATTTATATCATCAACCGTAGGACTGTCATGCGACTTTCATACAACCTATTGTGGAACTCTACAACCCCTAAGGAGGGGGAGCAGCAGACAAAAGCACCCCCAATTGAATTCGAGGTATGGCTTGCATCTGCCAATGTGCCCCCCAAGCCTCTAAAGTTGAAGCCCTCAAGCCCGTAAACCCTAAACGCTGCAACCCCTAGACCCCTAAATCCAACACACTTAGGATCCCTTCAGAAACTTTTCTAGATCCCCTACAAAAGAACCCCCCCAGCATTAAAGCCCTAGAGTTGTAGGTACCCCTAAGCCGCACCCTAAACCCCAAACCCTAAACCCCTGAACCCTAAACCCTAAAACCCTAAACTACTAAACCCTAAACCCTAAACCGCAGCCGAGGGTTGCTCCTCGTCCATGGCCGAGCGTCGAACCCGACAGAACGGCAGCTCCGAACTTTTGCAGGTCTCTTGGCTGGCTCTCGAAGGGTTCTGGGAGGGCTCAGGCTTTAGTGTTTGGGGTTAGGGTTTAGGATTTGGGTTTTGGGGTTTAGGGCTATGGAAGGGTTCTGGGAGGGTTCAGGGTTTAGGGTTTGGCGGGTGTTGGGTTTTAGGGTTTGGGGTGGAAGGTAGGGGTTTTAGGGTTGAGGGTTATGGGTTCGGGGTCAGGGCTTATAGGATTTACCCAACTGGGTTTGGGTCTTGGGATTCAGCGCTGCTTGGCGCATTTTCAAGTGCCCTGGGCTTTTCGGGCCAGAGGGGTTTCTACAGTTGGTGCACGTAGAAACACAAACAAAGCAGTTTGCCGTTGACGAGTTGTAGTAATGGTACGGTTGATGGTATGAATCCTGCATCACCCATAATAAGGAATAGACCATAATTCCCATAGTTTAGGGTCCTTAAGGTCATGCTAAGGATTTAGATCATCAGCCGTAGCGACCATGCAAGGAAGCCTTCCACTTTTGAGTTTTTAATCCTTAGAGAGTTGAGGGGTATCAGGCTGGCAAACCGTATCCACACCTACTTGGAGGTTCATGGGTAGTTATAAGTAGGGTTATAAGAAGGGGAACTATAGCCATAACCTATATTAAGGGACTTATAATTCCACTTCTAACGACCCATGAAACTCCAAGCATCCAGTATCAAACCCTACTCAGACCCGAATACAACAGCTGCTCGTGGGGAGGATGCCACTCAGACGCTCCTAGCGACTACACTTAGTAGCTGAATGAGTGCACTTTACACTTTTGGGATAATATGATCCTTTTTCGAACTGAGCTGAGTGTACACCTTTTTGGGCCAGGGCCTTTAAACTCAGCAACTAAATAAAAAGAAGTCCCTGAAGCCTAAAACCTAAACCCCAAATCGTTAGCCCTTCTATGGCCACGCTACAGCCTTCGGCAGACTCCCAAACCCAAACCCTAAACCCTAAGTTGGGGCTTAGCTGTGGGGCTTTAGAGTAACACCCTACGCTTAATCCCTGTGCCCCAAACTGGCATCTGCTAAACCCTAAACCCTAAACCCTAACTTACAAGAATCCTTGTAGTAGCTGAGCTGCTTTGGGAGCAGCGCTATGCGTGGAAATCTTAACCCCCAAACCCCAAGCGCGCTAGAAAATCTAGCAATCCAGGTGCTTTTCGAATCATAAAGACCCCCAAAAGCCCTAAAGCCCCCTGAGCACGAATAACCACAGAAGTTTTAAAGCACTGATGCGTCATGTTTCTGTTGTCCACTGTAGTCTTGGAGTCGTTGCCCTCATGGAAACCGCGGTCTCATCTCTCCTAGTGATAGTTGTACTTCAAATTCCGATATAAGAAGGGATAGTTGGATTATAGGCGTAGTTATGGTAAGGGTATAAGGACCCTGAACCTCGAAGTGCCAGCAAGACAGCCCAGACATCCTGAGCCAACCTAAACCCTATAAGGCCCTCAAAACTCCCAAGCTAAAGCCGAACCCTAAAACTAACCCTAAACCTAAAGACCCCAAACTAAACCCGAACCCACAAAAATCCTCAACCTCCAACCCTCAGCCCGAAACCCACAGACGAGGACCCAGGCCTGGTCGGGGTTTAGGGTCTAGGGTTTAGGGTTTGGGGTTTAGGGTTTCGGGTTCAGGGTTTAGGGTTTCGCACCCCGGCCGCTGTGAGGACTTCGCGGTGACACACTTCGCCACGTCCTCGGTGGCGGCAGAACTCATGGGCTTAGTCAGGGCCATGGGTAGTTCTCTAAATTCGGGTCCCTTTGTGGGGTCCTTTTTACAAGGGTGCCGTACTATATGTGGGGCCTAAAAAAGGGCCCTCGTTTAGAGAACTACCCCATATGAGTTTTGAGTTTGGGAAAAGCATGACCGAGGCGCTCAAGGGTTTAAAAACCCGAAAAACTGCGGCAGTCAACAAGAACGCTTGGAGGTTCATGCGTAGTTATAAGTGGAGTTATTATAAGTCCCCTAATACAGGTTATAACTACAGTTACCCTACTTACAACCTTACTTATACCTACCCATGAACCTCCAAGCGAAGACGGATTCCCTGTCTGAAGGACTTGTGGCTAGCCAAGGTACGGTGGATCGAGAGGTTTGGGGTTTCCGGACGTGTGGCACGGTGTCCGCAGTGTGGCCAGGCTCGAAACCCCAACAAGCGCTGTAGAGTGGAGCCGAGCCATGCCTGACAAGAAATGGGCACGTTCTGCCAGTGCTCGGTTGGTGCTTTTGTGCGCGCCGTTCGCTACCTCTTGGTGCTACGTTCTCTGGCCGCTAGACGCACCTGGTTGGAAGGAAAACGTCTTGAAATTGCGAGCAGGCATGCCTCTTCCGAGGCCAAGTCAAGAGCAATGGTTGGCCTCTTGGTCGAAAGTAGTGCAACTGCGTGCGCAGTGTCATCGCAACTGGCTGAACTCTCCGCAGCTGGCAGCGGAAACGATGCGACGTTTCTCTGGGGATGTTTTCAAAGCCTTTGCTTTCCATGTTTGCGGGGCGCAAGTAGAGATCCGTCTCGTAGCACAGTCACTGTTTCCAGAGTTGTTGTGGCATATCGAGCATGCATGCTCGCACGCTCTCGGCGGTGATATTGTTCTGAAACTTCTGGGATCTACAGTGCGTGGCACTAATTATGCGGTTTTGAATGGTGATCTGGACCTCCAGGTCTCCAGGCGACCGGATTCCGGGCGAGCTCATGAGCCTTTCACGGAGACTGACAAGCGACGCGTCGCACAGAATCTGGAAAAGCTGTACTTCATCACAGATGTAACTGTCGGGAACATTGCTATCAAGTTTACCATACAGTCACTTATATCTGTCGATCTTGTGCTCTGGAGAGAGCGGCCAGAGGAGTTTCCAGCACTTCGCGGAGGGTCGAGCTTCCGCGACAATTCCAAGCAGATCAATGCTTTCTTGGATGAAACACCTATCGCAAAGCAGGCCATCACTGCGATTAAGAGCTATTTCAGCACTGGCCGTCCAAAAGGGCTCCTTCTTGAGGCCATTGCCTGGCGGCTGGGGTCAATGAAGATGGAGCTGAAGACGATGTTGAGAAGAGTGGCAGAAGGAAGCATACCCGAACTCTTGGCGTCTTTCGCATTTTTCGGAGCGATGTTTGAAGAACTCCGGAATTGGAAACGTTCGCCTCATTTCGGACGCGAGCTTCAAGAAGATTTGGGTATGCTTTCGGACAGGAAGAGGTCCGAGTACACTGCAGGCTTCGAGGAAATCGCACGCATCACGGATGCAGGGTTTGAGTTTCAACTATTGTTGAGTGCATCTGACATTCGGACACTCGACGCAGTGCTCCCGCTGTGCCACAAGGCTCCCGCCGCAGCCGAGGAAGCACTCAGATATTATTTCTCCGATTTCCTGGAACAAGATCCTTGAACGAAGACTGAAACGAAGAAGGTCTATGTGTGGTTGCATGCAAGACTCCCAAAAGCCATTAGCAACATGCCGTAGCTTAAATTTTTGTTGAGGGATCCTTAAGATGATTTTCGAGGTAGGCCTTTGGGACATTTTATATTCGTCTCATACAGAGAATCTTATGTGCGAAAACTTTAAGAGGCTCGACTTGCCCAGCCAAGTTTAACAATTACGTAGGCCACCGCTCTCATACAGGGTTTCTGAGTTCTGATTCCCTTAGAGTCCCGCTATAGCTATAGTATACTATGCTCCAGAACCTTGTTTCAGGCCCTTTAGAACAATCCCGACATGGAAGCAAAGGCGTAGATATTGCGCATCCGACACCATGTGGGCGTTTCGGAAAGTCAGAAACTCCAAACCCTGAGCTTAGGCTTGCCCTGAACCCTAAACCCTCAACCCTAAACCCTAAGCCTCTCAACCCTGAACCCTAAACCTTAACCCCTAAAGCCCTGGAGCCCTAAACCCTGAAGCTCTAAAGCCCTAAAGCGTTAAACTGGACCTAACCCCTGGGCTCTACGCTTTCGAAACGAAGACTCCGAGCCTCATCACAGGGACCCCTCGGCAGGGGAGCATCCTTCGAGGAAGCCTGCAAAACCCTAATAGTCGGTATCTTGAGATCTTTTTTAGGGTTTAGGGGTTTAGGGCTCAGGGCAGGGGTGTAGGGTTTAGGGGTTTAGGGGTTTAGGGGTTTAGTGGTTTAGGGTTTAGGGTTTAGGGTAAAACCTTAATAGTGGCCAGTCAGGGTCAAAGATCCCAACGAACCCCTTTGCAAAGCCTCTTAAGGCTCTTGCGCAGCTCTCTTTTTAAACGCGTACCAGGCCCTGCCCTATCGAACTCCTAACAAGGCCTCAACGAGAAGAGGGGAGCAGCGGAAAAAAACACAAAAACAAATGCGGCATAGCTTCTGTTGGTCCGACGGACCAAAGACCCCGGGCCGAATTTTTCAACCGGCTCCCTAAACCCCCACTTGGAGGGTCGGAGGACCTAGTAAGTAGGTAATAGGTGGAGCCGGTAGAGCTATAAGTGCCCTAATTGGGATCCTAATTAGGGTTATGGTACTTACATTCTCTATAAAATAACTACTTGCTAAGTCCCCCGACCCTCCAAGCACACCCCCACACCCTAAAGTTCCTAAAGCCTGAAAGTGCCTTACGCCACTTTCGCCTCGCAAACGTAAGGCACCTAAACCCTAATCACTCAAGCCTTTGACCCAAAGTCCTAAAAACCTAACCTTATTCGTCCGTCGCAGATTTAAGATACAAGCCCTACGCCTACGCCCTATGCAGCCGAGGGTTGCTCCTCGTCCGTGGCTGCACGTCGAACAGAGAGAACCGAGCTCCGACAAGCCTTCGGCAGGTCTCGCGGCTTTTGAGGGGGCTTTTGGTAGGGTTCAGTGTTTAGGGCATGGAGTTCAGGGTTTTGGGGGGTGTAGGGTTTTGTTTGGGTTTTGGGGTTTAGGTTTAGGGTTATGGGTTGGGGCTTAGGGCTTTGACTTTTGCCAACTGGGTCGGGGTCTCGGCATGTCGCGCTGTTTAGAGCATCTTCAAGCGTCCAGGGCTTTTTTGGGGGGGCTGGACATTGGGTTTCTACAGTTGGTGTGCGTAGAAACGCGAACAACCGACTGGCCTACCGAAAAAGGACGAGCAAGCACTACTTTTCGTAGTGTTTTAGTACTCATAAGCCGTTCTTGAGTTAAACTCCTTAGAGTTCAGGTGTCTCAGGTTTTCAAGTCCTCTACAGACCTATTTCAAGGGTTCATAAAACCGTATAAAACCCTCTTAGTCCCGAACAAACCAGCCTTTCTTGAAATGGGCGGGGGAAGATACGAGGCCTTCAGCTCTCAGCTGCGCCTAACGGCGAAAAGAGGCCCCTCCATGGCCTTAGACCTGGACCCCCAAACCCAAGCACTGAACTCTGAGGTAGGGTTTAGGTGTAGGGTTGGGTTTAGGGTTTAGGGTTCAGGGTTCAGGGTTTAGGGTTTAGGGTTTGGTAGGGTTTAGGGTTTAGGGTTTAGGTGTAGGGTTTAGGGTCCCCGTTCCCTAAACTGGCATCCCGTAACTTACAACAGCCCTTGAGAAACCATCGGAGCTCATGGCGGGGGAGAGCCGACACCTCCCAGGTTCACTAGAACCCGAGACGCTTTACGGAGCCTATAAGGGACCTAAAAGCCCGACAAGCCTCAAGCAGAATAAACCACAAGCAGTTTGAAAGAGCCGACACGCCATGTTTCCTGTTGTAATACTCATCCAGCCAATGCCCTCATCGACGTACTTACCCACATCCTTAAGACTTACACGTCGTCTTGCTGTAGTTCTCGCTCTAGCTACCTTAATCATAAAGTGGCTTCCAGGCACCTTGCCGGTTCGCTCTGAAGTACCCTAAAGCCGAAACCCGAAATCGAAACCCTTAACCCCGAAACCCTACATGGGTAGTTCTCTAAATTAGGGTCCATTTTTAGGTCCCTAACATAGTACGGCACCCTTATAAAAAGGACCCCCCTGTGCACCCCAAAAGGGACCCTACTTTAGAAAACAGTAAACCCTAAACCTTAAACCCTACACCCTAAACCCTAAACCCTAAACCCTACATCTTAAACCAGGAAAACCCAAGAAACGAGTGCCTGGTCCTGGTCTGGGAGGCAGCTCTTCTCGGACCATGGCCGGTTGGAAGTGGTGCGTTCCGCGGTCATCGGTAATGTGGCAGCAAAACTGATGGGCTTCGGGGGCTTTAGGGTTTAGGGCTTTTATAGGGTTTAGGGTTTAGAGTTTAGGGGTTAGGGTTTAGGGGTTTAGGGGTTTGAGTTTAGGGGGTTTGAGCTTTGGAGGTTGGGAAAGGCTTAAACTGATGCACTTCAGAGTTTGCAGGTTTGTTTTCCGGGAACACTGCGGCATTGTACAAGGCTGACCACGGGATCCTTGTCTAGAGCACTCCCAGCTAGCAGCAGCCCAGTTGAGCGAGTGGTTTGGAGTTTCGGTCCGTGTTCGGTAGTGGCACAGTGCCGGAAGCGTGGACAGGCTCGAAACCCTAAGGGCTGTAGACTGGGAATCGGCTCTGAATCGAGCTATGCGTTGCAAGAAATGGGCACGTTCTGCCAGTGCTCAGTTGGTGCTTCTGTGTGCGCCGTTCGCCACCTCTTGGTGCCACCTCCTTCTGCTAGACGCACCTGTTTGGAAGGAAAACGTCTTGAAAATGCGAAGAGGCGTGCCTGCTCCGAAGGCAAGTCAAGAGCAATGGTTGGCCTCTTGGTCGAAAGTAAAGCAACTGCATGCGCAGTGTCATCGCAACTGGCTGAACTCTCCGCAGCTGGCAGCGAAAACGATGCGACGTTTCTCTGGGGATATTATGGAAGCCTTTGCTCTCCATGTTTCCGGCGCGGAAGAAGTGATCCGTAGCATAGCACAGTCTGGGTTTTCACACCATTTGTGGCAGATCGAGCATGCATGCTCGCACGCTCTCGGAGGTGATATTGTTCTGGAAGTTCTGGGATCTACAGTGCGTGGCACTGGTTTCTCGGGTCTCACTCGTGATCTGGACCTCCAGGTCTCCAGGCGACCGGGTTCCGGGCGAGTTCATGAGCCTTTCACAGAGACTGACAAGCGACGCGTCGCACAGAATCTGGAAAAGCTGCCTTCCCTCACAGATGTAACCATCGGGAACATTGCTATAAAGTTTACCCTGGAGCCATTTGTATCTGTCGATCTTGTGCTCTGGAGGGAGCGGCCAGAGGAGTTTCCAGCACTTCGCGGAGGGTCGAGCTTCCACGACAATTCCAAGCGGATCAATGCGTTTTTGGATCAAACGCCTGTTGCAAAGCATGCCATCATTGCGATTAAAACCTATTGCAGCCGTGGCCGTCCAAAAGGGCTCCTCCTTGAGGCCATTGCCTGGCGGCTGGGGTCAATGAAGATGGAGCTGAAGACGATTTTGAGAAGAGTGGCAGAAGGAAGCATTCCGGAACGTGTGGCGTCTTTCACATTTTTCCTAGCGATGTTTGAAGAACTCCGGAATTGGAAACGTTCACCTCATTTCGGACGCGAGCTTCAACAAGATTTGGCTATGCTTTCGGACAGGAAGAGGGACGAGTACACTGCAGGCTTCGAGGAAATCGCACGCATCACCAATGCAGGATTTGAATTCCAATTATTGTTGGGTGCATCTGACGTTCGAACAACCAGAGCAATGTTCACAAGCGACATCTGGCACAAGCTTCCCGCCGCGGCCGAGGAAGCCCTCAGACATTATTTCTCCGATTTCCTGTAGCAAGAAACCTGAATGAGCACCGAAAGATGAAGGTCTGCTTGTGTCTGTTTGCTTTGTCCCGCAGCTTCGGCGTCGAGTTCCAAGATTTGGCAAGGCGCGAGCCCGTCGCTAGAAGGAAAGTGGCTCGAACAATTAGTGATCGTCTTCCCTGATAGTCCCTCCATACTTGTACGTCAAGATACCCACAGACCCCGTTTAAACTACATTAAAAACCGCAGACACTTCAATCCCCAAATATTGCTGTAAGCCATGATTGCACCCGAAACCCTACACTCGACACTGCACCTTCGAAGCACGTTGCAAGAACCCTTAGCATTGGAGCATCGCTGCTGGACTAGGCCTTCCATCCTAAACCCTAAACCCTAAAATCCTTAACCTTCAACCTTAAACCCTAAACCCCTAAACCCTTCTCCTTAACCCTAAACCCTTAACCCTTATAACCCTAATAACCCTAATAGCCCTAAATCCCAATAACCCTAATAACCGAAGCCCTCAACCCGAAGCTCTACCCTGCACTCTTGACACTAGAATCCTCGTTGCACGGACCCTTCAAGCAGGGGAGCATCGTTCGCGGAAACCCCTAGACCTTGTCCAAAAGCCTTATGAAGCGGTTCTAAAGCCTCATAGAGATTCTTCTGTGAGGGAAGTACACAGGTTGTATAGGGGTTCTGTCAGTTTCGGGTGTAGGCGTTCTGGGGAGGTCGGGTTTCAAGTTTAGGGTTCAGGGTT